GCAAACCCTCCCCCCTCCCCGGCCCGGGGAGGACCCAGGTCCGTCCCCCCACCCCCGGCTGCCGCCTCCCGCGGGGCGTCGTCCGTCCGTCCCCGCCCCGGGCAGCCGGTGCCGGCTCCGGTGCCGCGGCCTCACCATCCCCGGGAGCGGAGGCTCCAGCCGCTCCACGACGGCGTCCGCCCGGGCGCCTCCATGGACGGCGCCGCTTCCGGGTACCCACCGGAAAACGGTTTGACATCAGCATCAGGCGCGGTGAAGCCGGGAAGTGCGCCGCCATTTTAAAGGTTCCGCCCGGCCCCTGAGGCGCGGCGCCATCTTGGCTCAGGGCGCCGCCATCTTGGCTAAGGGCAGGGCCGCACATCCCGCGTCCACCCCGCTCCTTTCGGGGCCGCCGTCGCCGGTGGGTCGGGGGCGGCCGGGCCCAACCCACGGGCAGGAACGGGGACGACCCCCGTTATCCCGGCAGACAGGGCTCGACCCGGCCCCAGCAGTATAGCTACCCGCCGCCCGTCGAAACGTCCACACCCATCATGGCGGCACCCGTCGCCACACCCATCATGGCGGCTCCCCAGTGCCGCCCCCCCAGGCCACTCCCATCATGGCGGACACCCCCAAGCTGCGAAGAAAGGAGACGGTCTCCGCGGAGGGGCTGTTCCTTCTTTTATTGGGTCGAGCATCGCTGCGGGGCCGAGCCGACCCCGTGGGGCCGAGCCCTCCCCGTGGGGTCCAGCCCTTCCCGTGGGGCTGACGGGCCCCGTCCCTTTGCGAGCAGTCCTGCGTGTGCCGGCACACGCGTGTGCCTCCCCACACGCGGTGCCAGAGGGTCCTTCCCCGGGGCCGGGAAGGAGGGTCCCGTGTCCAGCATCCCATGTGTGTGCCACCATCCCCCGGGGCCTGGGGGGTCTACGCTGAGCTGGGGGCGACATGGCTGTCGTTGGCCTCGCTCAAGTTGGCGGCCCACTCCTTCCTCTGGATGGTGCCTGTCTTCTCCTCGCGGAACTGCTGCCGCTCCTCCCGCGGGATCTTGACGGCGTGGTACTGTGGCACGGCTGGCGGCGCGTAGCGCGCCCGACGGAAGAAGCCCAGCTGCAGGGGACCGGTGAGTCAGGGCCCCGCGGGGACGCCTTGGCTTTGGGAACGGCTCCGCAAGCCCGCGGCACCGGCGCTTGTGCCGGCGCTGGCCCATCCCTCGGCACTCACCCCAAAAGAGCAGGGGCGTGCGCTTTGCATCAGTGCTCGTGCAACCATGCACCAGCACCACAAACGCTCACACGTCCCGGTTTGGGCACAGCAAACCCTTGCACAATCGTGTGCCAGCACTGCAAACCCACCTACACCCACACTGCAAACCCTCGCACACCCACACACCAGCACTGCAAACCCATGCACCAGCACTGCAAACCCTCGCACGTCCCAGTTTGGACACTGCAAACCCTCGCACACCCATGCACCAGCACTGCAAACCCTCGCACGTCCCAGTTTGGACACTGCAAACCCTCGCACACCCACGCACCAGCACTAAACACCCTCGCACGTCCCAGTTTGGACGCTGCAAACCCTCGCACACCCACACAGCAGCACTGCAAACCCTCG